TCCGCTTCCTGTGTGGCTTCATATTTCCTTTTATGGTCATTCTAATCTGTTATACCTTGGCTGGGGTGGGAATCCGACGCACCCATCTGTCAGGGAAGTCCCGCCCTCTGCGTGTAATAGCATGTTTGGTCATTGCCTTCTTCCTGTGCTGGGCACCTTATCACTGCCTCTTAATGGTGAAGATGGTGGACAATAATATTGCACTGTTGAAAATATTGTACCCTGTAGCAATGGGCATTGCCTACTTTAACAGCTGTGTAAACCCACTGCTGTATTTTTGCATGGGTCTAAAAATGAGTGAGGGATTTAAACAAGGTCTAATGAAAATTTATAGAAGGGCTCTGTCAGATGATATGGATGTCCAAATTACTCAGTGCACTGAACATTCTTTGGACTGAAGCTCTGGGTTGAAACACAGCACTGTTTCTGTGCCAAAAAAAAGTCTGACAGCAGTGGGTGTAGCTAATCTTTGTGTTTCTCCGATTTATCCTAAAGCTCAGAAGATTAAATTTCCATGTTTTGATCAGTCTGTTGTAATTTCTCAACGCAAACCATTGTAATGCAATTAAAAATGAAATGCTTCCCAAAAAGGCATCTAAATTCAAATATATTGATCTCTATTTTAATTTGTATAGTTACCTACGTAACAAATAAAAAACAAAAAAAACATGGAGTATATGTACTATATAAGTATATGACTAATACACTTGCTAATCAAGTATCATAACTATATAATATATGCTCAGTAAGTGATAAATATATAATTATCTTAGTGTGTTGTGTGTGCTCTCGGTAGCTCGTGCCTACACAGTTACTTTGTTTTCTCAACAGAGATGTAACGAATTGCCACACACGCCTGCTCTAATGAAAGTAGAGAGACTACCAATTCAATATAAATGCCAAAATCGACGTGCATACAACATTCTGAGCTGCAGTAAGATCTTTTAATAAACAACAAAATTTTAACAGTCTACATCATTGAATCGAATCTAGCGTCTTTAATTCCGTCACTAGTCACATGTAGACAGGACTAAACATTAGGTACAGCACAATTGTGAGTGTAAAATTTTCTGCGCTGCCGTAGCTTCACAAAGCAAACAAGGTTGTGCATAATTACTAAATAATAGATAAACAAGCAATAGATACTAAGAATGTGCTACATCGTGAAACCTCATATTCAATATATGGATGTGTACAAGTATTAATACTTATATGGCATTATATGTACAATATATAATAGTATATGCATTTCTGTGTGTGATGTCTGTGTGATCTAAATTGTTTGCTCTGTGTGTGTGTGTGTGTGTGTGTGTGTGTGTGTGTGTGTGTACAAATATTTTACAAATTAAATAGAGTAAACAAAATATATTTAGACTGTTAACGGATACAACTCTCCTGAATCAATGCTTAACTCTCCCTTGAGTGCCTGAAAATACATTTTAACAGCTTTACCTGACAGTGAAAGTCAGGGTTAGACTGGATATATTGTATGCATTTTGGTGCTTGAGGCATTAACAATAGGGAAACTATGCTTCCTTTTTGTAGGATTCACCATTATTATCCTCTGCATGCACACCTGGGACAGGAGTCTGTTCCAGGAAGCATAATCAACGTACTTCAACTCCAAAATAAGTAACTCCGAATTATCAGCTCATCTGAAACTAATAAATATATGTACAATATATAATAGTATATGCATTTCTGGATGTGTATACTAAATGTTTTTCTGTGTGTGTGTGTGTGTGTGTGTGTGTGTGTGTGTGTGTGTACACATATTTTACAAATTAAATAGAGTAAACAAAATATATTTAGACTGTTAACGGATACAACTCTCCTGAATCAATGCTTAACTCTCCCTTGAGTGCCTGAAAATACATTTTAACAGCTTTACCTGACAGTGAAAGTCAGGGTTAGACTGGATATATTGTATGCATTTTGGTGCTTGAGGCATTAACAATAGGGAAACTATGCTTCCTTTTTGTAGGATTCACCATTATTATCCTCTGCATGCACACCTGGGACAGGAGTCTGTTCCAGGAAGCATAATCAACGTACTTCAACTCCAAAATAAGTAACTCCGAATTATCAGCTCCAGAACTGATCAGAGTTTGTTCCGTCCTGTTCACCCTGGGTGAAGCACATGCATGAGTAGAGAAAAAATGACATCATCAGTGAAGCTCACACACACACACAATTCACCATGGCAATCAGACAGAAAGAAACAACAACAACAAAACATTGGACTCATTTCACCCCAATTTAACTGGATGTTCTGCTGTGTGTGTATGGTGAGTATAGTGCCAACTCCAGCTGCCTTAAGGTGCTTTATATTATTAGGCAGTTACCCTACACTGATACAGAGTAAGTCCCAATAATCAGATAAACCCCACTATGAGCAAGCATTTTGTGACAGTGGGCAGGAATAAAACTCTCTTTTAACAGGAAGAAACTTCTGGCAGAACCAGACTCAGGGAGAGGCGGCCATCTGCCACGACCAGTTGGAGATAAGGTGTGGAAAATGGGACAAAAGACATGCTGTGGAAGAGAGCCAGAGGTTATTAACAACTATTAAGGCATGGGTTTAAATCGGTAAGACACATTTTTCTACTCTCATTTTGGTTTTCCTTGTTTTGATATATTAAGCAAGACTATAAGAAAGACTGTGACAAAGTGGGTGAGAAGACCATTTGTCTATATTCTATATTCTTGTTTTGATTTAACCATATTTCACATGTAATCTGCAATAGGCAAACCTCTACTATCCCGGGTTTGTTTATGTTCTGCACTTTTACAGATTATATAATATAACATCTTGGTTTAAATCAATTCATACAAGTTTGTTAAGTTAACATGTTATTTATTTCAACTGTTAATTTGTATTGTTTGAACTTACCTTTACCTACCTGTCTTCCAGAAGCAAAAGGAGGAAATGTAGTTCTACTTCCTGCTTTATACCTTCTGGGTTCATCTGAGGTCACAGGAAGGGACCAAGGGCAGGAGGGGAAGAATTCTTATAATTTAATAAAGTTGATTTTAAAGGGTTTATAAAGAAATAGATTTAATGTTGTGATATGTATTGATTACACCAGAGTTTAGGTTGCCAGTCAAGAGGAGTAGTAGAGGATGAATATAATCATGTTCATCTCACCTACCTACTGAATGGAATAGTCCAGAGGAGAAATTGTTTGATTAAGTGGACTATTTAAGCAGACGAACTCAGGTGTTTCGAGAGAGAAAGGTTCAGGTCAGTGTAGCTGTGTGCAGTTTGACCTTAATTTCCGTTGATTTAAGTTCAGTTATGTTTATTTGAATTGAGTTAATTATAGAGTTGAGTTTCTTATTTGTTTCTTTGTAAATATTGTTGGGCCACAGAATGGTGAATAAATCACTTGCTACACTGGACAGCATCAGGCTCCTGCACTTCTTTGACCGCTTAAGTTTAGTCCTACCACAAAGACTATATGCAAAAATGGTTTTACAGTTTTATTTAGCTAACAGAAAGAAGGCAGATGTTTGCAGAAGTTGCTAGTGCCTTCAGGCACTGCTGGAGTCAGTCACCTCCCAGGACTTTACTTTCTGCTTAAAATATGATTATTTTCTATGCACATACTGATGACATTCCCTATTGAGCCTTCTGCCTAAACAGAACCCCTTCCTCCCCTTCCATCTGTAAGTAGGCCACTCAGTCCTGAGATTTTACCTGCAAAAATCTCACTCTTCAACAGAGGGTAACCATGACATGTCATGAAACAAGCACAATTGTGTAAATGCTCATGAAAACCTCGGGGCATTTATTACAGCCTGACAGTTAAACTAGATAAACTAGATATGTATGTTTTAACTTCAAATCTGTAAATCTATATCTGATACACTTTTGTAAGTATTTATTAAGTAAGTATTTTGTTACTGTTTTGAAGGTGGCTCTTGGGAGTTTGTTGCTGGAGCTGTAGTCTTGTGCTCTCATCATAATTGTCCATTTTCATTGGTTTATTGTGTTCCCCTTGTCTTTGTCTGAGTTTTCCATTCACTTCCAGACTTATTTTAAGGCTTGCTTCCTCATGTAGCCTTCAGTGTTTATGCTTCATAATGCAGCACATTTTTTTGTCAGTTCTATACACGTAGGTTATAAAAACTCTTTGTTTTTCCATGCACTTTTTTTCTTTAATTTATTAACTAATTCCTAACCGTTCATTCACACAGTGAAGTTGTTTCTGGCATTTTCTTTTTCTGAGTGGCCTGTTCCCTGCAGTTGGATATCTGAAAACAACAATTCTGTTCCTAAGGTAAATATTCGTTATAATATGTGTTATCACATCTTTGCATTCATATTAGCGGTGTTATTTGACCTTAGTTAAATACTGGTAATAGCTTAAAAGGTTCTTTTCATTTTTTTCAGGGTGCTGCTGTTCTACTGGGAAACTTTAATGCTCAAGTGGGCAACGGCAGTGAGACCTGGAGGGACACGATTGGGAATAGCAGCCTCTCCGATCTCAACCCTTTACCTGAACCACAGTTTTTTCCATAACCAACAGCATGTTCAAACATAACGGTGTCCATAAATGCACATGGCACCAGGACACATAAGGTTGCAGGTTGATGATTGATATTTATAATCATATCATCAGATCTATGTTCTGTACACTTGGGTGAAGAGAGGGACTGAGCTGTCAAGTAAACGACACCTGGAGGTGAGTTGGATCAAGTAGTTGAGGGAGGATGCTGGAAAGACCTGACACACCTAAATAGTGAGGGTGTGCTGGCAACACCGAGCAGAGTCCACGAGATCCAGCCCAACACCCAACTCCGGCAGAGCTTTGACAGCATTCCGAGGGAGAATGGGGAACCTACGTCTCATTGAGCTGCAGCTGGAAGTTGGTTGGTTGCCACAGATTGTGTTAATAATTTTTATGGACAGAATTCCTCAGTATAGCCATGTTTCACCATGAGGATCTTGACTCTGCTTTTCACAGATGATGTGGTTCTGTTGGCTTCATATGGTGGTGGCCTCCAGCTTGCACTGGAGCAGTTCACAGCCGAGTGTGAAGTTGCAGGAATTGGAAGCACCTTGAAATCTGGAGAGGGTGGTCTGGCTGTTCTCCTTAGGCTGCTGCCCCCACAACCCGGCCCTGGAGAAGCGGATGAAAATGGGCGGATGGATGGATGAATCAACTTTCCATTGCTGGATGCCAATTAAGGCCTTGTTTCTTGGAAACAGCTGTGAACAGTTTATAACAGAAAACAATTCTGCAATTGAATTTAAATAACTTATTCACACTTCTGGTCTTATGCTCAATTGGAGTGTGAATCTATGTCTGAGAAAAAATGGGAGGGAAATGTGGGTATGGTTGTGTGAGGGAAAAAAAACAACTATATTCAGAATGGAAGATAAAGCCAGACACATGACGTGAAAAAAGAGGAAATGGAGGGTGTGTTAATGTGTCTGGGAGTGTGTATTCACATGTGTGAGAGCCATGACACAAACTATGTAATAGCCAAACTTGAAGTAACAACAGGACAGACAAACAAATACATCCTCACTTCTGCCTCTGACTACTAAGAGTGAAGCTGCTCACTTTAGCTCAATATTTAAGGTAAGAAATTCGATTTTTCTTTCTTGGTTAGATCTCTCAGATGATACTTAAATTCTTATTTTTTTAATTCGTGTTTTTGCATTTTTGTTTTTCCTGCCTGTTTAAATGTAATATTAGGTTTTTCTGCTTAATAGAGAGCTTTGGATATGTACAGTTGATTGAAAATCTTTGGAAAAGAGCTTATGATGAATTAAATTGTTTACATGCAGTTTAAAAAAAAAAGAAATCAAGAAATATTTAGACAGCACATCAGATCTCCCACAATGGGAGAAAATCCAACTCAATATCTATACTGATATCGACTAGGTAATGTGTTAGGAATGAACACATTCAAATGAATGCTACATTATTTGATGGAAATGAAAGTTATTAACCTAAACAAACAGGATGTCTTTGTGAGAATTTAATTTGCCTTTCCAAAGGAAAGTTTTAGGAACCTTAACATGGATAAAGAAATGAAACTAGAATTTCTTCTAAAGCAGCTGACCTGTGGTCTTGTAGGCATCTAAAGTGTAAATAAACATGTGCATCAAAGCATGATCGGGCCAACTGTAATAACAACTTTTTACCAAACTAACAAATACTAAAACCCAGACAGTTTTCCATATATAATGAATTTCTTTGTAGTTAGTGTTCAAAATTTGTTCATCTCGCTCAAATCTTTCATGTTCAACTACATTATGGGTTAAAACTTCAGGGTCAAAATACCCAAAACAGCACATTAAGTTATAGCCTGATACATTTTTTGGCAACAGGCAAAAATATAGTGATAAAGAAAACCATATGTCACCATATGTCCTGACGCCTCAACAGAGTGAAAGTAGTTGCCACTAACCTGTGGAGGAATTGAAAAATCAATTTTTTTCCTAAAAGCAGGGGATAGCTTGTGTTACAAGTGTGAGTACAGGCTAGATTTGTCACAGTCTGGCTGAGGCAGACCTGAGAAGGAATGACTGAAAACACACGAACTAAATACACACAGGAGGCTAATGAGGGAAGTGGGAACACATGGGGAAAACAGCTGACACACATGAACATAACGATGTCACAAGGGGAGAGTAAAACTGAAAACACTGAACATAGGAACACAGGACCCCTTTCAAAATAAAACAGGAAAAATAATGAGACGCAGACATGAGAACATGAACTTGACAACATAAGACACACAGACATGAAACACATGAAGGGCAAGGGAGACTTAACAGGGGTTGAAAACGCAAAGGGAAACTAATAAGCAAATGAACTTAGATAACCTAAATAACTTAAACATACCATAAACATCAGAATAAACCAAAACTCCAAAACATTAGGTCAAACGACCCAGGATTGTGACAGGATTCTATTATGTATCTGCACTGATTAATGAACAAGAACAAGATCAGGCCTCTTTACAGATCAGGGTGACAGTTTAATATGTTATTAGCAGCTTTTAATCTAATATTTTCTGCATAGCAGAGATTAGATTATGGTTAAGTTATGTAAACTAGTATATTTAAGCTGTTAGACCTTAGTGAGTTGTTGCCAGAGTCACATGTATTCAAAGATTAAGGTCTAAGGAAATGATCTCATCACAAATTCCACTTGTTACTTGTTTTTAAGCTTTTGACTCTGTAACATGAGCTTTATCAGATGATGAAATTTGCTTAATGTCATAATCTTTTTTCAGACCTGATCCATTTTCATAACATACTTCCTGTTTCTATAAGTTTAACCATTTCACACACACTTTAAAATACAACAAAACCTTCAGCCAACAGTTGGTCAAGAATTACACCCCTATGCATACATATATGCATATATAATTTATACACACTTATATATACTATATTTTGTATGTTTGGATGAATATTTCTTACCACTGCAAAACCTGTTTATTACCCCCATAAGTGGTGCCACATTTGCACATTTGTAAGGATAATGCATTTATGGGTTGAGCAGTAGAGCTGAGTGTGTCAGCTGCGACCATAAAAAACTTGTCAAATCTTTTTTGCCAAACAGCTTATTCTGTCATTGAGTCGTGTTTATTGGATTGGATTATTGAAGTCTAATGAAATAAAACATAGTGGAAATGTAACAGCTTATTCGTTTAAGAAACAGCAGCCTTAGTAGCATGTGGAAGAACCATACACAGCCAAAACAAGTCAAGTTGTTTTAAAATTGCCTTGTAACCAATTCACAGACTAATCGGCAGCAACAATTGCTTCTCTGAGATCACTGCTGTGTATGTCCTCCTATGGAAGCAGTAAGACTAACACTCAGTCTCTGACTCACTGCTTCTGCATCTTGGTTTTTGTTAGATAAATAATGATGTCATTTTTTTTGTTCATTTGAGCTGTGCACCCATTTGAAGACCCACTGGTTATTTCTATTGTAACTTGATATATAAAGCAACATGATTTTCTTTACAATGGCTGTAAAAGTAATATATATCTCATTGTGAGCAGCGTGACAAAGACCTAAATAGATGAAGATAGCAGCCAATGTGAATCAAAGCAAATGCCTTAGCTGGCCAAAGAAAAATCATCTAGGGAGTCAGTGAGTATGATAATATACAGCAGCGTGTGAGGTAATCTTATGACTTCCTATTCACTGTCTGGAAGATCAGGAGTTACATGATGAGTAATATTTTGTTCTTTTTCTGTTCTCTCTTTTACAGCCACACAATGTTTTCCAATGTCTCTCTGCCCAATCAGATGCTCAAGTTTTCAAAGGAGAACCAGACAACTATGATGGGCATCAATGCCATAACAGAATATGTCACCATTATCTTATATGCACTGACCGTTGTGCTCGGCATCACAGGGAACTCTATAGTGATCTGGGTGGCTGGATTCAAACTTAAGGTAGATATAAAGTGTAACATGTATTTCAAATACCTTCTGAGGTTTTAAGTATCTCTGTGAAATTCTCATATTTAGTTTGTACAATATTTTATAGGCAAGAGTTTTTGAGACAGCTTCAGTAAATGTGTTTTTTGGGTTTTTTTTAATGTTACATATCAGTGCATGAATGCAACCAGTATACTGATTACAAAATACTCAATGGCAGATTTATCATTCACCTCTTAGTGCGTGCCAAAATGCAGAGGTGGCAAAAGAACATACATTCATCACTTAAGTAGAAGTACAGATATTTGAGTTTGTCTGAAAATCTTAATACTTTATTAAAGATAAGAAGCAAACATATAACATGTGCATAAATATTTACAGCCTTTGAGGTCAGGTACATCCTGTTTCCACTGATCAGCTGTCAGATTTAAGCCCCAGACTGACAGTGCATGTCAGAGCACAAACCAAGACAGGAAGTCCAGGGAATTATACCTGACCTGAAGTTTCCCCCAAAGTATCTGAAGGAGTCTCAGACCATGAAACACAAAATGATCAGGTTCTCTGAAAAGAAAGATTGAACTCACTGGGCTGAATGCCAAGCCTCATGTCTGTAATAAACCGGGAACTGCTCATCATGATGTACAGAGACATCCTTGCTAATAACCTGCTCAACAGCGACTGGACCTCAGACACGAGTGAAAGGTCATCTTCCAAGAGAACAAGACCCTAAGCATACAGCCAAGATAACTAAGGAGTGGCTTTGATACCACTCTGTGAATGTCCTTGAGTGATTTCTTGATAAATAAACCCACTAACCCTTGGCTTAAATAACTCCAAATAACCCTCTTTTTTCTTCTCTTTTGTTATGAACCCCTTCTGTCATCGTTTCTAGTCATATCAGCATATAAGGAAATCCAGCTGTTAATAAACTTCTTATATCCATTGATTTGGTGTGATTAAACTTATTTTTGACCAATTAAGACTTAATAAGTTAAAGCACTGATTATGACTGTACAAGTTGAAACACAGTGTGTTGGGTCTCAATGTGCACAGTGTGGCTAAATTTAATAAGTACATCCTCATCAGCCTTTGGCCTTATCAGCCCAATGAGTGATCATTATCAGTCAATATCTGTCAATATCTGTCTCACCTCTTCCTCCTACTGAGAGCTGGTCACCCTCTCAGAGGTAGTAATGGATGGTGTGTTTGCAAGTTAAAATAGGAACACAAATCCCCACTTGGAGGCTGGGCAGAGGTTTATTTCACTTAGCTGAATTGCTAAGTGAATTGCTAATTCACTTAGCAATTGCCTTGTGATACAATTTCTTCTAATGTATTTTTTCACATAAACACTAGATGTTTATTGATGCTACTGATAATAACAACCTACTGAGTTTGATACAAGATTAAGATGAAGGCCAATATTTAAAAATTGCTAATATCGCTGATAATATCACAATCTGGTGACTTGCTTCATATAAATAAATTTTTTTCTTCCATTCTTCTCTTTTCCATCTCGTTTTATTTTCTCCTCCTTAAAGCTGAGTGTCACCAACGTGTGGCTGGTGAATCTGGCGATAGCAGACCTGATCTTCTGCTTCACACGAGTCTCCTCCCTCATTCAGATGCTCTTCTTCGACCACTGGCCTTTTGGCCTCTTTCTCTGCAAGTTCAACGGCTTCTTCAAATACACCAACATGTTCTGCTCTGTCTTCCTGCTGGCTGTGATTAGTCTGGATCGAGTGCTCTGCATCTGGCAGCCCGTCCTCACAAAGCGTCGTCGCACCCTGTGGGCAGCGAGGGTGGTGGCAGTCTGCATCTGGATCCCAGCGATCCTCTTCAGCATTCCCTACTTCATTCATCGCCAAATGTACATGGACAACAACAACCTGACTAAATGTTCTGTGGACCCGAAAGAGAAGGCAGAGGGGTACAACAGCACCAAAGTAGCTCTCTACTCCATCCGCTTCCTGTGTGGCTTCATGTTTCCCTTCACAATCATTCTGATCTGCTACACCTTGGCTGGGGTGGGAATCCGACGCACCCGCCTCTCAGGAAAGTCCCGCCCTCTGCGTATACTAGCCTGTTTGGTGATTGCCTTTTTCCTGTGCTGGGCACCATACCACTGCCTCTTACTGGTGAAGATGGTGGACAATGAAAATGCAGTAGTGAAAATCTGGTACCCTGTAGCAAAAGGTGTTGCTTACTTTAACAGCTGTGTGAACCCGCTATTGTACTTCTGCTTGGGTCTAAAAGCGAGAGAGGGTTTCAGGCAGAGTGTAATGAGAGTTTATAAAAGAGCTCTGACAGATGAAATGGATGGTCAGATGACTCAGTCCACTGATCGCTCTTTGGATTAAAGCTCTGGTTTGAAACACGACACTGTTTTAGTGGCAGGAATAAGTGGGTGTAGCTAAAGTTTAAGTTTTCCCCCAATGATCGTAAAGCTAAAAAAAATGCATATCTTTATATAAACCATTAGTATAGCAGTGAAATGGCAATAGCAAAGTCGTTATTTTAATGTAACTTGTAATCTGTAGCTTTTCATTGCAGTTTATGTGAAGCAAGAATTAGTAGGTATGACTGTGAAAAGGTGTTTTCTTTCATTCTGTGCTCAGTGAAGAAAATATATATTTGGCACACTGGAGTGAAACACTGTTTTGTGACCCTTCTTCTAGAGTGTGTAAAACTGTGGAATAGCTTTACTGCAGAATTACAGCAATGCTCAGGAATTGGCAAGTTCATAAAGACACTTCGAAAATTACTCTTGGAAGGATATGATATTGAAAAAGACAATCACCCATTGTATGTATAAATATGTCAACTCGTATTTCAATTATAAATATCGTGCCAGCCTTGTTGATATAAGTTTTCTTGTGTATTGTGTGGAATATGTGATGAGGAGAATTAGGTAATATGTGGGATTAATAAGATGTTGAGCAGGGGTAGGAGTTAATAAGTATGTGCATACTTCTTCCTACTCCTTTTCAGACCAAACAACTGTTATCTCATGTTAGACGAATGTGTTTTATTTTATTATATTTTTCTTGTTTGTCTGTACAAATACGTGTGTGTGTATATCTACACATATATTCATATTCGTAAATGAAAATACATGTAGACGAGTATATATTGTTTTTTTTGTTTGTTTTATTATGTCTGAAATAAATAAAGATACAAATACAAATACAAAGTGTCTGCAGCTCCAGGGGGATTGCTCCAGGTTTCTCTTGTTTTAAAAGCTAGAGGCTTTTAATTGTCATTTTATTTTGTTTCTGTGACTCTTTAAAAGCCATTTAGCATCAGAGCACTTTCACTGAACAGTGCCAAGCTAAATCTCATCATTCTATAACTTATTTCTATCTATCTGTCTGTGTGTGTGTGTGTGTGTGTGTGTGTGTGTGTGTGTGTGTGTGTGTGTGCGTGCGTGTGTGTGTGCGTGTGTATTTAGTAAAGTTTTAAAATTCAAAGTTTTTTTAAAGGCAAAATATTTTAATTCAAATGTAATACAGTAGTACTGCATTAAAGGAGTGATATTGTTTTTAAAGTCATGTTAATGGTTTAGTAAATAACAACATTTAACACTTATACCTATTAAATAAAATTATTTTATGTGAAATAGATTAAGTCACCAGTTTGTACTTGATTTTATATACACTATAATGTACTGTAACTGAAATAATGATTTTCTCAATGATTTAAAAAAAAGAGAAAAGCTAAATCTAGTTATTTTATATGTGGAAATATCATTTTAATGGTGAATGTCTCTTAAATATAAAAGTTTTTTGTTGTTTTTTTGCAAAGATACACATCACATTAGAACTGAATGTGTAAACTCATTAACTACTTACAAAAGTTTTTGACTTTTAATGGGTGATATTTCATTTTGGTACATTAAATATAGATTATATCAGCGGTCCCCAACCCTTTTTTGCACCACAAACATGTCTGTCATTATGTCCAACAATATTTTCACGGACCGGCATTTGAGGTGTCGCAGATAAATACAACAAAATAAAACCAGTACCAAAAAAAGTAGATTTATTTATAACACATGGGATAAGACCCAGGGACACAGAGTTAACGCTAAAATCGTTTAAAAGGAAAAATAATGTCAAAAACCAATAAAAACTCTGAAAACCATAAATTTCACAGCCGAGCCTCAAGTCTCATGGCCTGGTACCAAATGACTCATGGACCGATACCGGTCGGTGGCTCGGGAGTTTGGGGCCGCTGGATTACATATACAAGACTGTTCTGTGCATAATGAAATGCAGCTTATAGCAGTGCAATCAATGCAATTTAAACTAGATTATTTGTATTACAACTATAATACAAATGTATTTTTAAAACATCATCTACCCGTTATAGTAAGCAGATAACTTCCATTGAGATCTGTTTTGGCAATTATCCTCCTGGACACTCTGTAAGGCTGGACCCACCCAACATCAGAAAGACAGCTCTGTCTTCAGGCCACAGCACATAGCAGGCTCTGGTTAATATCACCACACCATGATTATCTCTTCATCATGGCACCCGTGTATAACAAGGGCCAAAATGTGATGGACAGACAGCGAGGTCAGAGCATCTTCAAAAGCACAGCTCTTGTGGGATGTTCTGGTCTGCAATGTTCAGTATCTATCAAACGTGGAAGAAACAGAAGGGACAGTGATGATAGGGTCATGGGTGGCCAAGGGTCATGTACATGGGGAGCAAAGACTCCGCAGTTTGTTGTGAATGGGGCAGTGCATAGCCACAGACCTGTCAAGATGCCCATGGTGACCCATGCAACTGAAAGCACCAACAATGGGAATGAACATCAGAACTGGCACCAACACAGCATCATGCAGTATCATACATAATGTTAAACCTGATTGGTCTATTTATTTATCTATTTATTTTAAAGAGTACATAAGTAGTATTCAAATGTGTAAAACGTTACACAGACAGGCCGATTCTTGGAACACTGAAGATCAGGACTCAACATTTCAGGAGACAAGACGAAGTATTTTCGAAAGTACTATGTACAGCACTTTGGTATTGTCTTTGAATGATTGATTGATTGATTGATTGATTTTTATAAAATAGCCAGTAACAAGGAAAAAGTTGGTAGAAGGAAAATGAACCATTTATACTTTGCACGGGGTGAAGGAGGACAAACAAGAACAGCCAATGTAAATGAAAACTTTCAAATCAGACATGAGAAAATTCTAAAATTGTTGCAAAAAGAACAATAGTAAATTCTAAGGAAAAAGACTATTCACTAGTGATGTGATGCACTGTGCCAGGATTTAATCCAGGAAATCCTTTATCAAGTACATATCATAGCTAGGTTCTTTAAGGATGAGTGACATCGGTCGTGATGTGTGAAGCCTCACTGTTTCAGAATGTGGTTTGAGTGTTGATGTGATTCACGAATATTCATAAGCACCATGGATTACCCCCCAAAACTGCATGTTAGTGTTCATGTTGGAGTTTTCCCAGTGACATGAGGAGGTTGTTTTTTGATGGAGCTTGCTGAAAGGAGAAGCATTTCCTCCTGTGCGGCAACACTTTGAGCTATTACACGTAATATTCCTGTAAATAATGAAACATGTTACTGTAGTTTTGGTCAAAGTCAACACCAGCTTTGTTGTCAAAGACTAGTCATACACAGGAAATTGAAATTGCAATACTCCCACAAACACAAACATCGTCATGATTATTCCCATGATGACACTGTTGTAAGAAAACCAAGAAGCTGTAAGAAGTAGTTGAAAGATTTTGACCAGCAGGGGGGGTCTGTGTACACATGAAGCTTTTGGAAATGAACCTGTTTTTAACCAGTTGGATGGAAAGCTTCAAGGCCATCACTACCATATCTATGCTTACCAAACATACTTGAGCTTTGATCTGTCATATCTAGTCCAAAAATCATCAGACACACTGACTAGTAAAAAAAAAACCCTAAATGGTAGTTTGTATGCCTGTGTGTGTGAGTGTGTGTTTGTGACAGTAGCAGTACATTTTAAAATAAAAACAAAACACAGATTTAATTAAGTAATTAGTTAAATGTGTCAACTAATTAAAACTGGAAATAGAAATAACTTCTAAAATGTTTTAAATGAAATGAATTGACATTTAAATAATGATAGATATATTTGATTATTAATTAATTACAATTTTATTTAATTAACGACACATTTAATTAATTATTTAATTGACTCATTTTGGCACTCGGGACATTTCATACATGCTCACCATGGGATGGAGGTTAGAAATTTAATGTTGTTTGCCATTTCCTCAGATATCTCTGACAAACATGCATCCATGAGTCACACGGTGATGGAGATGGAGGAAGAAACTGTATTAACAGCTTCGGAGAGGAAGACTTTTTTTGGGGCCTTTTTCCTTCAAAGTAAATATTTAAATCTATATTAGTGATGTCTGTATGGACATAGATGTAAACTTTATTTTGAGTGGTTGGACATGCAACCACAAGGTGGTGGGGTTTTCTTCTTTTTACTGTGTGTGGCTAAAGAAACTGTACTGTCCCTGCACTCCCACGTTTATTTGCAATTTGACTCCAGTAGCCTTACGTCTCTCAACAGCAGAAAAAACCTTTTTTCTCAGTCATTGGGGATCTTTTCTTTTGAAGTGCTACTGTATTTCTTTCTACTGGTAAGACTTCAGTTTTCAATTTATGACATAACACCGCCCTGAACACTAACTAACTTCTGACTTCTTTAGCTTTGTGAAGGTTTCTACCACCACAGTTCATTTTGATGTGATCATGAAGTAATGATCTTTTAATTTTCATTATAGTCTCTTTTTTCATAATTAGCAAAAAAATGGTTAAACAACTATTTACTCCTTTAAAATATCACAGCCAGAGCTTTTTTATCTCGAAATCACTTCCAAGTATGTGCGTGTGGTGCTTAAAATCATATCATGTTATATGTTATATTATATGGGGAGTAACACGAAGAATGTTATCATTTTCATATTGAGACAAGGTGTGTACATCTTAAAATTAATAATAGTAATAAAACCAAAAAACTAATCTCAATACCTCGCCATGAATGGTTAATTACGTTTTTATGTAAGTAAGTGTTTGAAAAATAATCCTGAATTGATTTCTACATCAACAGGAACAAATGGATTAGGATCAGAGCTATAACATTTCTGGTCAACAGCTTGACATTATTATCACTTTTCAAGTGTTAGACATGTATAATGAATATCATCTGCATAGCAGCAATTTGATTACTCTGTAGAAATGTAGACTAGTACCATGCATCCGGGAAGTATTGATGGCACTTCATTTGTTCCACATTTTGTCATTTTTCAGCCTTATTCCAAAATAGATTGAATTTAAAAAAAAAAATGGACCTCAAAATTTTACACACAATACCATCTAATGACTAAGTAAAAACTGTTTGCTCAAATTCTCGTGCACTTGTTAAAACTATAACATAACAAGGTGTAGTAGGTGTAAGTAGACTGCGGAGTCCTGGCCTGATGAATTAGCTCTTCTGTGTTGTGCCATACGCTTTGCCACAGGTTGTTTGGTTTCCTCGATATATAAACCATGGCCATCCTCCGGGCACTTAACAGCGTACACTATATGATTCTGTTTGTGTCGGGGGACCCGATTTGTGGGGTGGGCCAATTTTTTCCAAAAACTGTGTCTGTGTGGCTTTTAAACCCCAAAACACGCTCTGCCAAAAATTGGTCCACCCCAAGGATTAATGATCAAGGAACTGATCTCACAGCCCATTGTTCATATAGTGGGCTGGTTTCAGTTATTGTGCAAATGTACTGTTTATAAGGTTGAGGAAACCTGCAGTCATCTGAGACTGAAGAAGTCACTTCGATGAGTGACGAAACGTTTCTTCCACTGAAAACTCTGCATCCAGATGAACAGAATCAACCTTTTTGGACCCAAATTACTAAAATATAGATATTTTAGATATGAGAATTGATTCATAAAACATCTGGCATTGGAGATGTCGATATTTTACTATCAGTCCGCACACCATTAATGCTTAGCAGCGTAGTCATTTGAATCCACACTGCACTGGTGCAGAGAGAAGTCAGCTTCTAAAAGATTATTAGAAGGGATTTCTTAGTTGTAGCTTTCTGTGCTAGAAGGAAAGAAGGGAGAATTTCAGCGAGCCTTCTTTGAAAGAACTTACACCCACATTGATAATGAGCAAATGCAATGGGTTATTAGCATATAAGTGCATATTTATATGATTTGTTTGACATTTCCAGACAAGAAAATAAATATGTAAATATAAATAAGTCCGCACCCCTATAATCACACTTGGGATCTTGTTCTAATGTATGGCATAGAAACTGAACATTTAACAATAAAATAAAAACTCTTCAATGACATATTCCCTTATAATATAGCACAGGTACCTAAGCTTACCCACAAAGGTCTATTATCTTATTAATAATGTTGACTCGTGTCATCACTATCCTGGATAGTGTGTCTCCTCTAAAAAAGGACAGTCTCAGATAAACAGATAAGCTGGAAAGGAAATGATGTGTCACTAATTTAGAAGAATGTAATTTAACCTGGAAAAAGACTATTAAAAAAGCCCTCTCTAACAGGATATATTACTCATCATCAATTAAAGGAAATAAGAACAACCTTAGGTTTCTTTTCAACACTGTAGCCAGGCTGTCACAGAGTCAGAGCTCTGCTGAGCCATCAGAGCTCAACTGTAACTATTAATAACTTCATGATTCCCATCACAAAACACTCACTGGAGAAAAAATTATATATAGTTTAACCATCTCACAGACATATCATTTTGTACAGCTATTTTCAATACTATTTACATGCTCACTCTGAAAAATCAGAGTTTAGTTAAGTTCAATATTTATTTCCTCCAAGCCATCAATGTGTCTATAAGACCCCATTTCTAAAAGACTGTTCAAGAAAGTCCTACCATTAATGTTTTGATCATAGATATGAGAAATCTATCTCTATTAATGAGCTATGCACCAAAGGCATTCAATGTATCAGTAATTAAACCGATATGTAAAAAGCCATTAGTTGGCCCATCTGTCTTTATAAACCAATCTCCAACCTTCCTTTTATCTAAAAGAATTCTTGAAAAAATAGTTGTAGAAAAGCTAATTGAGGGGTCTTTGATGATAATACTGGCTTTCTGCTGAAGTCTGCCAGTAAATATGTCTCTGAGGGGTGTTGGTGAAATGCCAATTGCACCAGTAGGCTAGAAGGCTCTCAATGATGGAGCCGTAGAAGTTAATTAGCAGTTTCTGGGGTAATTGGGCTTGATGCAGCTTCCTGAGGGAGTACATCCTTTATTGTGCTTTTCCTACCTTGTGAGAAATGTTTGTGGACCAGGTAAGGCTGGTCGAGATGTGAAGGCCAAGGAACTAAAGCTTTCTATGCTTTCTACTTCCTCTCCATCGATGTAGTGAGTGGAGTGCTCCCATTGCTTTGTTCTCCTGATGTCATTTACCATCTCCTTGGTCTTGGCTGTGTTCAGTTGCAGGTTGTTGTCTTCACACCATTGCTTCAGATGCTGAATCTCCTCTCTGTAGGCTGAATCATTCATGTTGTCGATCAGCCCTATGATGGTGGTGTTGTCAGCACACATTATAATAGTGTTACTAGTGCGGATTACACAACAGTCATGGGTGAAAAGTGAGCATAAAAAAGGGCTGAGGACACACCCCTGTGGGATGTTCAGAAAGAAGGTGGAAGAAGTGTGCTCTCCCATCCTGACGTTCTGGGTCTGTTGCTCGGGAAGTCCAATATCCAGGTGCACAGTGAGCTGCTAAGTCCTAAGTTGATTACTGCCAAATGACAACACCTGTCAACAAGGGACCTTAGATGTAAGGTGATGAACCTACATTAATACAGAGAAAAAAAAATGGAAAGAAAAAAACTCCCTTTTAACAGGGAGAAACCTCAGCACCACCAGGCTCATGGACGGGAGTCAGTTCTGACAAACTGGGATTGAGGGAAGGATTGTAGGACAAAAAAAAACACTATGAGAGAGACAGAGATGAAAAATAATAAATAATTAAATGCAAAGTGGTGCATAAACACACTGACTGAACAAAAAATGGGTGAAGAAGAAACATTTCACACTTATCCATGTTTTATGCTGAACTTTGTGAGGAGGACCCAAATGCACAACATGAAGGCAGCTGATGTGAGGCAAAAATCCTATTCTGACTTTAACAACATAAATTCATAACAACTTCTGATTGCACAAATTGTATTTGGGATTCCCTAAAATGATCTCTGTAAAAAGAATCTTCTGCTTTGTTTACCTGCAGTTTCCCCTTTCTTTTAGGTTTTAGACAATTTCATTTTAAAATAGTGTTAGGGAGTATGATAACGTAGAGCAACATGTGATATAATCTTACATTTTCTTACTCACGGTCTGTTAGGTTAGGAGTTACATGATAGCGTAAAATTCTTCTGTTCTCTCTTTCCCAGACAAAAAATGTTTCCCAATGCCTCTCTGCTCACCCTGGGACTCAAGCCTTCTGAGGAGGCCCAGGCAACTGTGGTGGATATTGATGCCATGATGAAAAAATTCAGCAGCATCCTCTACACACTGACCGTTGTACTCGGCATCACGGGGAACTCTGTGGTGATCTGGGTGGCTGGATTCAAACTTAAGGTAGATATATTGCATAATCAGTTTCAAATACCTTCTGAGTCTGAAATGTTTCTGTACAATATTTTATAACGCCCTAAAAGGCAGCTTCCTTGAACAGGAAATATACTTACACAACATCTACCCAGGAAAGCCACAATTGGTTAAAAAATCTAAAATCAATGGGTACATAACTTGTAAGGCTTGAATGTTTATCAAATGTCACTGAGCTTCAAATAAAAATAAAAAATCTAAACTTTTCAGCAGACAAGGACATCAAACTCTTGACAGACTTCTTGGATGGTATAGATAGATTTGATAATAGCTTTGGGAAAGTAAATTAATTAGTTACAAGATTGATGGATGGAAACTGATAGAATGTTATCAGCCAATTGAATGGCCATGATCGCTTAAAATCTGTGTTAAATATACAATATTATACTACCTCCAGACTTATTCATGTACTTCTGATTACCTCACAAGTATAGTTAAATCTGCAGATAACAAGACTGCCTATAGGGATAAAGTGCACAACTGACTTCATCTAACACTAAATATCAAGAAGACAAAAAGCTTATCATAGATTTCAGACATCATCAGAGGAAGCCCCAGCCACTAAAAGTAGCAGGAGAGGAAGTGATGGGAGTTTACAGCTTTAGGTTCCTAAATGTGTCAGTGATGATCTTAAATAGACTGTTAACTGAGTGGCACTAGTAAAAAAAAATTCAACTGAGACTTTACTTTCTCAGATCACTAAGAAAAGTCTGCCTTTTTCCAAAACTAAGTCTTTTAAGCACTCCTCAGTAGCAAACATTCGATTATACTGGCTAAGAGCTTGATATGGAAACTATACAACAGCAGATAAAACAGCCTTCAAAGAGAAAAACAAAAAAGCTGCACCAAAAAAAAGAAAGAAATCATTGGATTACTTTACAGCAGGGACTGCATCAAGATTACCCATCACATTCATCATCTGTTCTCTGTATTGCCACCTGGAAGTCATTAAAGGACTTTAAAGACCTTCAAATCCTTATTATTTTTTTATTTTTTTTATTCAACGGCCACAACTGAACTTAATTTTCTCTTTAGAGTAGCATTTCAATAACGCTCAATCACAATTCGTATTTTGTATATATTTGACAATATAACAGGTTTGCTTACAATGAAATTTACCACCTAATTAATGTCTTTCACTTTCTTCCTCTTTTTTTATCAATCTTGTTTTATTTTCGTCCTGCTTAGCTGACAGTCACCAACGTGTGGCTGGTGAACCTGGCAATAGCAGACCTGATCTTCTGCTTCACATGGGTTTTCTCCCTCGCTCAGATGCTCTTCTTTGACCACTGGCCTTTTGGCCTCTTCGTCTGCAAGTTCTATGGCTTCTTCAAATATACCAACAAGTTCTGCTCTGTCTTCCTGCTGGCTGTGATCAGTCTGGATCGAGTGCTCTGCATCTGGCAGCCCGTCCTCACAAAGCAGCGACGCACCATGTGGGCAGCGAGGGTGGTGGCAGTCTGCATCTGGATCGTGGCGATTCTTTTCAGCATTCCCTATGTCATTAATTGTCAAATGTACATGGACAACAAAAACTTGAGTTGGTGTTCTGTGGACCCAATAGAGAATCCAGAGGGGTACAACAGCACCAAAGTAGCTCTCTACTCCATCCGCTTCCTTTGTGGCTTCATATTACCCTTCATAGTGATTCTCGTCTGTTACATCCTGGCTGGAGTAGGCATCCGACGCACCCGCCTGTCAGGGAAGTCCCGCCCCTTGCGTATCATAGCGTGTTTGGTCATTGCCTTTTTTCTGTGCTGGGCGCCATACCACTGCCTCTTACTGGTGAAGATGGTGGACAATGAAAAAGCAGTGGTGAAAATCTGGTACCCTGTAGCAAAGGGTGTTGCCTACTTTAACAGCTGTATAAACCCACTGTTGTATTTTTGCATGGGTCTAAAAATGAATGAGGGATTTAAACAGAGTGTGACAAGAGTTTATAGAAGAGCTTTGGCAGATGAAATGGAAGTCCAGACTACTCATTCCACTGATCACTCTTAGGATTTAAGCTGTAAGATGGAACACATTAATGTTGTGGGGGCAAAAAAGAGAGAGTGGGTGTGGTTTCTGCCAGTGATCCTGACGCTAGTATTTGATAGTATTTATTCAAGCTCAACAAAACAGGCATGTGAGGTTCCACCTAACTTTCCTCATCTGTGCTTTTAGTTAGCCAAGGGTGACATCAATAAATTCTGACATCCCTACAGTAAATCAAGATGTATTTCATCATGATATATTATATATAGTACATACTATATGCAGTCTTCACTACTCAAAAATTAAAGGAAAACTTTAATTATAGCTAGCATCGGGTCAGTTTAGGGATATTGATCTGTTCAGTTAAGTAGCAGAAGTGATTGTTAATCAGTTTCAGCTGCTTTACTGATAATAAAATTAACAGCAGGTGCACTACAGTGGCATCAATTAGACAACTTCCAAAACTGGAATGATTTTGCAGGTGGGGGCCACTGACACTTTTCACTTCTTAATCTTTTTCTGACAGTTTTTTACTGGTGTTGCACTTAGCTAGTGTCTGTGTCACTAATGGTAGACCTGGGGTTGATACCAGAATTGATGGGTTCACCAACTGGCTCCCTGTCCTTTTCATGGATGAAAGCAGGTTTACCCTGAGCAGATACAACAGACATGAAAGGGTTGGAGAAGCTATGGAGAACATTCAGTATGATTGGTTTGGTGGTGGGTCAATGATGGTTTGGGGAGGCATATCCATAGAGGAATGCACAGCACTCCACAGGGTAGGCAGCAACACCCTGACTGTCATTAGGTATCGGGCTGAAATCCATGGACCCTGGCAGACCCTACACAGATGCAGTAGGTCCTGGATTCCTCCCAGTGAACAAGGCCCCTCATCGTGCGAGAGTATGCAGGGAGTTGCCGAAGAACATAAGAGTTGATACCGTTGAGATGTTTTTAAAGTGTTCCTTCAAATGTTTTGAAGAGCGTATGTCATGATACTCTTGGCCAAACTACCCATGGACTGACATATCAAATCTAACTGGACAGGTTAATGTCAAAAAGTAACAAAATCATAAACATGGTTTAGAAATCCAGATAACTGAGAAAAATGACTCAGTGGTCACAGCATGTCAGCATCTGCCTGTCATTTGGCACGCCCCTAAATGTAAGTGTCAGTGTAGTTTAGATGAGTGAGTTACAGGGGAAACAAATCCACTTTTTTTGCAGTTATTGTGATCATTAAAAATGGCTTTAGCAAACACAACGTTTTTTTAAATACCAGGCTGTAAATATGTTTTATTAAAAGCAAACAAACTAATGATCAGCAGCCTGACAGGAAATAGTAGGTTTTACTCTGTTGAGGAGGGTTTTTTTCTTTCTATAGCTTTATATTTATATCAGTAGGATGATAAGATCTGAGATCTAATTCTGCCAACCACTAGATGTTTTAAATTTAATTATGATCAAACAGAAGGCTGTCATAAAACTTGCTGTTGCAACCTTTCGATCCAATAAATAACAACATACTGTGAACATATATACATTATTTTCCAGGGTGTCATCTAGAGACAATTTTCATATAGAAATGAACCCTTCATAATAATTTTCATCAGGAAACTGCTGTAGTTGTTTGCATCAAATAATTATGAAAATGTCTTTGCCTACAACTTAATTACTGGATATCAAATATGTACTGAATGAATAAACAAACAAAGATGGTGAGTTTGTATATACTTTGTGGATATTTGCATCAGTTCCTCCTTTGGGTGGGGCTCTCACTTGGTGTTGGCTCTCTCTGTATCACTTCCTGTTACAACCAACGACTGCAGAAAACATGGACGACCTGACAGCTCCCCAAAAATGAAGCCAAAACGTCTCTGACGCCCCCTGGTGTCTGGCTGCAGTATAGGTCATAAACTCTGCCTCCTCCATGTTAGCACATTTTTTCTTTTTAAATTAACTTTATTTGTCAACAATAATATAAAAATATGAGACCATATTAGTTATCCATGCATATAAATGTATACGGCTGAGCATTACAACAACAGAAAAAGAGAGATTTAAAAAAGCAAGAGGAATAACAAAAGAATGAAAGAAAAAAAAGTCTTAGGAATTCATTAGTTGGCTAAATCTTAACCTCCATGGCCTCAAATTCTTTTAGAGTATAATTTCTTTTAACTGGGTTGGGACAGATTTCGTTTATCAAAATATTTCTGATCGCTTTGTTTGTAAACCTGCTCTCACAAGTCAAAGTCTCCAGCTATGCAGAGCTGTCTCAATCTAGGAGAAATTTAATCATTGATCTCAAAGGGACTGGGATGGCTTTTGTTAGTGTTTTATAACTCTTAGCAGTGCATCTTACGTCAAACTTCTCACAGAACGTCTGTTTTATAAGACCCCATTCTCATCCATAAAATCAGCTACAGCCCAAATCCCTTTGGATCTTCAGTCATCCATGTACACTGATTTTTAACAGGTAACGAACTGCAATCAAAGTCACAACTTAAAATTCTCTTCCACCCATTTTATCAGTCATCACATTGAGGTTAACATTTCAAAAGGATGTTTGTTCTTAAGGATCTTAACCATTTCAATTTTAACACACAATTCATAACAGCTCCGCGTGGCTTGGAAAAAATTATAAGTATTTAACTGAAGTTTATTTTTATTTGTGTTCGTTTTTTTTTTCTTTAACTTGTATTTCTAAATTGGAAGATTATTGTGATCTTGAAATATAGAAATAAAATTATATTTTATTATGTTTTGTTGCTCAAAATAAGCGTCACACTCGTGGAAGCCGGTATACCCACCAAAACATGTGCATTTATTGAGACTTTTGGGGGTGGTGCAAGATGGCGAGTTGAGCAGTCGCACGAATTAGGAGCTTAATAAATTTATCCCAGAATTTAGATTGTGTTCTTAATTGTTTCCACTCGAGAATAGTGAAAAGAATGCCCCAAGTATAGTTAAACCTGCTAAACTCAAAGTCGACCTCAAAAAACAAGAAACCAACATCGCCATGTGGTTTAAAGAAAGATGGCAAACAGGGAATGGAACATGACTACGCAGCAATGGACGTAGCAGTGATGAGCAAAAGGGAACATGGCAACGACTTGGTTCCTACACCTAAAAGAAGCCTGCAAAAAAGAAAGTTAAATCAGCAGGGATGAGTGAAGGTGATGAAGTCTCTAGCTAACCAAAGATAACTACGATCTTAATGAGAGAGTGAGAGAGGAAGAAAGGTTTAAAATGAGGTGGTGCCTCCGGATTAAAGGATTAGAAGAGAAAAAAAAAGATGAAGATGTCACATTATTATTATTATTATTATTATTGGTTATTGACAAGTGTTATGATTTAAACTCATACTTTTTATTATTTATTTATTTATTCTTATAGTATGCTCTCTTACTTGTTATGGTTCACTCAAAAATTTAATTTGGTTCATTATACGTTTGGGGTTTGAAGGAAATTGTTAAGAGAAAGGCACTTTTTTTTTATTTTGCAAGGGGCAAAAATGTCACTGTCTGTTTCTACAAGAAACTCACACGGTGGATGCTGACCTTTTGGGCTAATCAGTGGGGAGACCAGATTCAGCCATGGTTCTAACAGATCTGGAGGTGTGGCGATTTGTTTTAATAAATTCCCAGGGGAGATTATAACTCACAAAGCTGACAGAGGGGCCCATTGGTAAACTGTAGTTTTGAAGAGTGAAGGTATATTTCTAATTGTCACAAATCTTTATAGACATAATAATGAGCTTCAAAATAAAAGTCTATTGGAAAATTTAACAAATGTTATTTTAGAGTTTAAAGTTATGTACCCCACGGATTACATCCTAGTAGGAGGAGGTTGGAACATGACAGCAGATGAATAGTCCCTGCCGGTGGCTGATGCCCTCAGACGTTGGTGTGTTGGTGGTTCTTGGTGTCTGGGGCTGGGCGCTGATGTATGTACCAGCTCACTCCTGGTGGCCGATTAGTGGGGCCTGGCGCCTGTGGCCCGACCGGGCCCCTTCCGGGGGGTGGGATGCCCTCAGGCCTCTGGCCTCTGGGCCTGAGGCTCGGTCCTCTCTGGCACAGCTGGCTGCCGGCAGAATCCGAGGTCACGTCACTGCAACCCCCCTGGCCTCTGCTCCGTGGCTGCTGGGTGACCTCTCGTTTGGGGCTCTCCTCAGCTCTTCCCAGGAGGGTGGCATGGTTGCCCCTGTGGTGGTCCTCTTTGGGTCCTCGTACGCTGGGGCCTCTGAATGTCTGGGGCCTGGATCTCCTCCATACCTACTTTATGCCCTGGGGGACGGGGCTATGACTCCCCACACTCCCTAGCAGCTGACAATCTTGCGTGCTGCACAATAACATGAAATATTTAGTATCTACTGTTATCTACTGTTAGCTAGTTTATTGTGATGGTGTTGTATTTGTTATGTTGCTTTTTCTTGTTTGTTTTCTCTTCTGTTTTTTTTTATCTCCATACAGTTGATCCAGGTGTTTTGTTTGTTTTCTTTTTTTTTCTCTTCTCCCCTCTATTTTTCTTTCATTCTTTCTCCCTGTCCTATCCCTCAGTCATATCTGTCCCGTCTGTAACAACCGAAAATCAAATCAAATAAATACATAATTATAATAAAGGTCAATCAAATGGACCAATATGACAAGGCCATGATGATCCACTTGGTAAAGTAAATCCACTTGGCATCTTTCTTGGCCTTCAGACAACAATTCTGATGGCTAAAGATCCAAACGCGACAGGCAAAAAAAAAACCTAATAGAGAAAGCAGATCAAGGATTATTGGTTAATCATTAACCAATAATCCTTGATCTGCTTTCAGTAGGAGAGAAGCTGCAGAGAGGTGTGTAAGACTGCAACTCTGCTTCCTGGTCCCAACTCTGGATAGTCATATTTTGGGGGGTTTAATAAATTTGTCCATATTCCTAGAAATGAGCAGTGATGGGAATAACAGCGTTACTTTTTTCAGTAACGAGTAATCTAACTAATTACAATTCCTATCGTTACAACGCCGTAACCGTTACTAACAAGAAAACGCGGTGCGGTCGCATTACTATTTTTCAACAAACAGACGGTTGAAGCTGTCTTCAGCTTGCCGCATCTTATATCATTTGCACAGAAGTAGCTGTAAGTAATCTGGGCGCTACAGCTTTAAGCAGCTGCGCGCTCCCGCGGGTGGCAATTACCCGCTGGTAGACGATCACTTTTTGGCACAACACCTGGAGCTAGGTGGCAAAACAATCACATGAGTGCTGCTGTTTCACTGAGGAAGAATAAAGTTGTCGTGGTAATCCAATCACATGACTACTTTAAGATGACAAAGCAACAAGGTGATATATACCAGTTTTTAAATTGTGTTGATAGGCCATGTAACACCAGAGTCGTGATAAACAATATATTCCTGTGTTTTTTCCTGAATAGTTTCGTCACGTTTACCGTCTAAGGACAACGCTAGCAAAGACTCTCTGCTTATGACCAAACAAAAGAGAAATGCACCATGTCGACCAATCAAAAAATGATATGGCAACATGACATTTGGATGTTTAGGAAGTGGGGGACGTTTTAGGAGTGATGGTGTGTGTGTGTGTGTGAGAGAGAGAGAGAGAGAGAGAGAGAGAGAGAGAGAGCAGAAAAAGAGAGAGAGTTTTGAGATGTGAGAGATTTGTGACATTTAGCGTGTTTGGAGTGTGTAGTTAATGTGTTATCTTGTGTAGTTAGTGTGTAGTGTTGTGGATAGTTTTGTGTTGTGTCCCAAAACAATGAGGTGACTGCTGAATGAAAACAGGAGGAGTGACACACCTGCTGCTGTCAGACCTGCAGGTATCAGGCTGTGATGTTCTCCTTTATAGTCGACAGAAATTATTTTTGGAGTGGCACAAATAATTTGTGGCATCTTATTGAATGCAGAACACCTGATTGTTATGTTAATAGTTTGAAATGGTTATTTAAAAAAGGGGTAAAATAACTTTGTTGTTTGCAAAACTTGTGCATATGATTTTAAAATTGACAATTTATATTTGCATTTAAAGTTATGAAATATGATTCAATAAATATGTTTGTGGTTGTTACAGTACAAAATATAACTACTTGGATTTTATGTTTTTGTCTGATTTTAGATCAGTTGTGTTAAGACAGTATCTCAAAATGACAACATAACTGTAAATTCAGACGTGAGGTTGTGCTGAAAAGAATGATACCAAACATTTACGGCAGTGTCCTGTTATATTTTAGATAGCGTGCAGATGGCTGAGTTTATTAAACTCCATCAACACAGCAGTGACGCAAATCTGAAGGCTAGACCGTCCCATTTCACAGCCTCGAATCTCCGGCCTTTTCAGTCTTTGAAGGACCCGGTCCACATAGACCGCGAAGGCCGGGTCCTCCGAAGGATGCAGCCTACGTTTTGGGACACAGTTCAAGTGACAGCGCCACTGGAAGGAAGAAGTCAAGCACTCAACACTTCCCCACCAGTCTACCATTATGTACAGCGCTGTCTGCCGCTGTTTTTTTTTCCTTTATTAAGTGACTTTTTAAATTTAACTGACTTCCGACAACAAAGTCTCACTTCTGTTGTTCAATACTGAAGAAATTTAAACTTTTTAAATCATGACAAATTGCAAAATGCTTAGTTGTCACTCTAATTAAACCTCTGTAACTTTGCTCTGCTTCACTTCAGCAGCATCAGGTAATGTT